GAAGTGTGAACCCTTGAGCAAATCTGTTAAAGCCTACCATGATCTGCCTTTTCCTTCTTTCCTTCTCTCTCAAGCAACCTTCTTTCCTTCTCTCTCAAGCAACTTCTCTCAGCACTTCCTGAGTATGCTCTACATTACCTTTAATTGTTGGATGGCTTATGGTTATCCCCATCATCTGGGAAGCACTTCTCCACCATCTCTGCCTCGTAAATAGTTGAATTCATTCTCCTCGTTCTGCCTTGTCAGCCCTCCTCTCAGAAATAATCTAAACATCTCTTTACTCTCATTATTCTTCCAATTTCTACTAAAGCTAATGACGTCATTTGACTTGCATTATAGTTACACTTGCTTAAGTTTATCTCCCTGTCCAGACTGTCAGATTCTTGATGGTAAACATTTGGGCCTCATTCAGAAACTGTCTTACCTTCATCCCTATAGCAGCTACAAAGCACCGTAAGTAGCTGCGTTTCCTCTAGTGGTTCAGTGCTGTGCTGACACCTGCTGGTCACATCTGGCTTGGTCGCCCTGGCCCCAGCACCTTCCTCTCTAGGGTTAAGGGCAGAGACAGTCCATGCCACCCCTTACCCAGGCAGGCACTGGAGGCCTATGCTTGTGATACCGCTGCCCCAAGCACCACCCTCCCCTGGAGACTCCAGGGACATGCTCACACCTGCTGGTCTCTGGTCTGCCTCTGGCATCTCCAGCCTAAGCTCAATTCAATCTTCAAAACCTTCCCCACTGACCCCTTCTCCAGCAATTTGTACTTCATATCATTCCCAGTACCACAAAAATCGAAGATCTCAAGGAACTGGGCATCGAGGAAAGAAAGAAGCAAACAATTTGAGACCAGGGGATGTGCAATCCCTCCTCATGACCTCAAATCAAGGCTATTTCCTCCAGAATGCTTGGTATTCCTTTTAACCTTTGTTGTATTTCTGGGAGGCTCTTGGGCCACAGACCTTCTTAGAGACAGTGTGATGAACCGGAGGTTGAGCACCGAGTTGGTAGGCGGGGCTTCAGGGGTGGGGCCAAGCCAAAGAGCCTCTCGCTTAGGAGCTTCTCCATTCTATCAGCTCTCCCGGGACACCCAAAGCAAGACTGGCACCAGTGCACGCAGCAGGTGAGGGGCCAGCAATGACAGGAGGGTAGTCTTTAGGGGTGGTGGTGGCAGAAAGGTCCCAGCCCTGCCAGCCTGAGCCTTCCATATTGTGAGACTCTCACTTGACAGAATTCTTGGGTCCTCAGCAGAAAGGTCCAACTCAGTTTTCCCTGGGGCAAGGATGCCTCAGAAAGAAAGACGGGGTTTGGGACAGTGTAGAGGCAGGGCCGAGGCATGGGGGTGATGTGGGTGTGCAACAGAGTATGGAGACATGTAAGGACGTCCTAGGAGACATGGGGGTAGACATAAGGGCCAGAGGGGGAGCTGGAGCAGAGGGTCGCAGGGCAGGACCCAGACAAGAGAAAAAGAGAGACTGAAACAGGGAGGGAGAGGACAGTGGAGCAAATGGGAGATAACAACGGGTGCAATGAAGAGCTGGGGAACAGGAAGGCCAAGGAGGAAGGCAGGCTCGCATGGAGCAATCTCCTCTTCCGGCTGTGGAGCCCGGGCCAGAAAACCCCAGGCAGGCCCAGGAGCAAAGCAGTTTTTCAGGCTCCCATTGAACCGGTACAGCTGGGGAAGAAACCCCTGCCCCAGTCAATAGCACCCATCTGCCCTGAGTCTTCAGGCTCCCATTTGGGTTTGGGGGAGAGGGCGAGGCTGCTCCTCACTGCGGTCACAGCCACATCCTGCAGCGCAGGGTAGGGGGAAGTAAGAAGCAAAACAACCAGAACCACGGGCGAAGACCACGGGGAGAGAACCCTGGATATATGCCAGTGATGTGCCACCAGGAGGGTCCTGGGGTCAGTCCCAGTAGAAGACTGCAGGCCTCCAGGACCGCCTGCCCCCTCCCGCCCTGGGGTGCTTGTTTCTCATGCTCACATGTGCATGGACCTCACTGAGAACATTCCAGGGAAGGAGGTTTCTTCGGATTATTTAGTTCAAAGCTCATTATCATTTGCTATAGCGACTTTGGCCAAGTTGCTTAATTCCTCTTAGCTTCAGTGTTCTCACCGTAAGACGGTGACACCGACCTAACGAAGGGTCGGGAAGACAATTCCCATAAAGTACTTGGCACATAGGGTCTCAATAAACGTTAGTTGTTATTTTTATTAGGACTCCTGAGATCCCCCACCCCCACCCCATTTCTTTACAGACAGTAGAGCACACGAGCTGACATGGGCTTTTGGGGCCAGAAAAACGGTGGCATTTGACATTGGGTAAATTCTTTAAAGCGAGCTTCAGTTTGCTCAGCTGTAAAACAGAGAGTCATAGCCACACCTCATAGACACATGGCACACAGTCAGCGTCCACAAGGGTAGAATGATCAGCCAGGTAAGGCAGATCTTCTCCACTGTAGGGCAGCAATGGCCTACTTCCCCTTGAGACTTCACGTGTGAGGCCGAGCCCCTGTGAGCCTTCACTCCTCCAGCCAAAGCTATTACTGCTCCTCTGGGTTTAGAAATCAAAATTTCCTACAGTACCACTTGAAAAGAAATGGGAACAGGCCTAGAGAACCGAGGGGGCCCAGGGGAAAAAGATGAAATGATGACAATGGGCAAGAAACCAGAGTAAGGGGGAAAAGCCATGTCTCTCTTTCTAAGGATGCCTGTGGCTGTCTTCTGGCGACTAACCACATGCCCCCACCGCCCCCTTCCCCAGGCACTATGGAGTCCTTCAGCTCAAAGAGTCTGGCACTACAGGCGGAGAAGAAGCTACTGAGTAAGATGGCAGGTCGGTCCGTGGCTCATCTGTTCATCGACGAGACCAGCAGCGCGGTGCTAGATGAGCTCTACCGTGTTTCCAAAGAGTACACGCACAGCCGGCCCCAGGCCCAGCGGGTGATCAAGGACCTGATCAAGGTGGCGGTCAAGGTGGCCGTGCTGCACCGCAGCGGTTGCTTTGGCCCCGGTGAGCTGGCCCTGGCCGCCCGCTTCCGCCAAAAGCTGCGGCAGGGCGCCATGACGGCACTCAGCTTTGGCGAGGTGGACTTCACCTTTGAGGCTGCGGTGCTGGCTGGCCTGCTGACCGAGTGCCGGGATGTGCTGCTGGAGCTGGTGGAGCACCACCTCACACCCAAGTCACACGGCCGCATCCGCCACGTGTTCGATCACTTCTCTGACGTGGGCCTGCTCACCGCCCTCTACGGGCCCGACTTCACTCAGCACCTGGGCAAGATCTGTGATGGGCTCAGGAAGATGCTGGATGAGGGGAAACTCTGAGGGCCCTGGAACCCAGCACAAGCCACCTTGGCCAGAGAGCTGACTGAGGAAACAACCCGGAACGAGCTTTCTAACCCTGCTCATCTGCACTAATGCTTGTCAGTCCTCGGGCTTCGTCTTTCCTAAGAGTGCTTTGGACTCTGAGACCACCCCACCCCCGAACTGCTGGTGGAGAAGAAGCAAAGCTGAGGGTTGAGGCCTCTCTCCCACTCCAGCCCCAGGACAGGAAACAAAGCTGCCTGAAAAAGACGAAGTGAAACTTGGATCTCTATTTCCCCCATAAGGGACATTTGAAACAGGGAAGCCCCCTCCCCTATGAACCAGGGTAAGAGGGCATAGCCCATCTAACCCGTCAGGGGACCCTAAGGACAGAAGTGGGAGTGGGGGCCCCTTAGAGCCATCCTAGACCTCCAGCTCCAAGTAGAGCCTGGATGGACACCAGAGGCTCTGTTCCAGAGTGCAGGAAGAAGGGGCTAGGGCAGGGGAGATTCTCACAGGGGAAATAAAACTACTAAAGCATGCACAGGGCTCAGTGTTTAATCTCTCCAGCTTCTTACACCTTATGACCATCACAGAGGTGAGGGAAAGAGAAACACCGCTTATCTAGCCTCTCACCATTTCCAGACAGGAGACAGAGGCATAGTGCCAGTAGTATTGGGGTTCCCTTGCCTACTGCTGCTTAAGAAACTCTAAAAAAAAAAAAAAAAAAAAAAAAAAAAAAAAAAAAAAAAAAAAAAAAAAAACCCAGTACCACAGATCAGTGCTACAGATTGCAAATAAATACGCAGTGAGGAGAAAGGCATAGATCAACAGCGCTGGTGGGGAGGGAGTGTAACAAAGAAACTCCCGCACCAGCAAGTCTCCCCCAACTGTCCTCCTCCTCAAACTCCAAAGTAATTCCTCTGTCATCCCTTAGCCTCACACATGCTGAACAGAGGAGCAGGTCAGAAGGGTGAACTGGTGATGTGGAGAGTTCCAGTTCCTATGTTGCTGCTTTTTCTCAGAGCAAGAGTTATAAACAAATTATAGTGGACTGGTTGGTTAAGACTGAGCCCAAATTCTTTACATTGAGACTGGGGAAAAGCCCCAGCACGGTCCACCATTCTCTGCAGAGGGGCTAGATCACGGATTGCCCCACCCTCAGTGACATGCTTGGCTAAGAAGGTGGGGAAGGAGGGGAGCCAGCGGGCATTGGCTTACTACTCCTGGGCTCCCTTCACCCCAGAGTTATAGAAATCCCATTTTTCAGTTATAAGAGGGAAATGTACGATACAGCAAATAAATACTACTTCAATATAGCACCAAATAAATTAGGTAACATAGTTGGAGACGGAGAGGAAGGAGGCTGGGGGCTGAGGGAGTCCTCGCCACCCTGTTCTAAGGCCAAGGGAAGGTAAAAGGGACGGGGAAGCCAACAGGGACGTAAAAAGAGCCTTTTGAATCTGAAGGACAGCTCTAGATTCAGACAAAGAACTGAGGAGGGGTCTGTTCCCCATCCTCTACTCTTGCCAATCAAGCTGCCCTGGGCCAAGGAACTCTAGATCAACGAGAAGGCTGGAACGAAGGCAGGAGGGAGGGAGGCGGGCCGGGAAGCCGTGTTCTTGAGCCTCACCTCAGGCTCCTCTCCCCCTCAAGTTGCTACTTCAACATCTTGCTTCTCCCAATCATTTCTGGGGACATCAGAGTTTGAAGATTTCATCCTCCTGGTCCCGAAGTGTCCGGGTCCGAGAGGTCCGGGTCAACGGGACCGGACCTAGGACTGCTCGCTGCTGCATCCGAGGGGAACTCAGGTGAAGGCCTGACTCCTCCCCAGGTACCCTGCAGGTGAGGAAAGGGGGCAAAGTGACAGGTCAGGGGAAGAACCTGAGAAAGGGCCCACTGAAAAGGTATAGGGGAAGCTGTCCTCCTCTCCTAGTATACATGAGCTGCTTGCTCTCAGATGGAGTCTCGTTACCCTCTCTGTAAATTCTAACCATTAACGCTCCTTCACGGATCATCAGAGCCATAACAACACTCAACTATTTTACTCCAATGAGAATACAAAACCATTTCCCGCTGCTCTACCCGTCCCAGCAGCCATTGGCTCTGTCGTTGTTTCAGGGCCATCTGGGGGAAAGGCTTCACATCACTTCTGCTAACACTGTGCTTACTTACTTGTGTGTCTGGTCAGGCAAGGCTGGAAGAATGAAGAAGTCTATGGAGGGGCGTAAAAGGAACCATTCAAGACTCACCCACTTTCCCCCTTTTTCAGCTTCTGGGCAGCAGCCTTCTTTGACAGGCTGATCTGTGAATCAAGCTTCTTAAGGAAATCAGAGGCAGAGAGGTCATGGATGGGAGTGTGGTGTTCCCAGCCAGGTGTGGGAAGGACTTCACCGTTAGCACGTCCTGAACCTGTTTCTCGTTTCTTCCTGTCAGCTGAGTGTGGCTGAACTTCATCCTTACTTGACTGTACTTCTTCCTCTCCCTCTTTCTCTTCCTCAGAATCCAAACCATTGAACAGGTCTCTGGGCTCTGTCAGGATGGGGATGTAGAGGGTTTTCTTCAGGAAGATGGAGTCATTAGTATAAAGGCGGTTTGCACGCTTAATCTGTTCCATCTTTAAAAAAAAGTCACCGCAATTAATGACAGTAGTAATGATCAATCTTCTATCTGTACAGCACCTCAGGCCTTTTAAAGTGATTGTACAGAGTCTTATTTGACCCTATAACAACCAAGCTAAAATACAGAGGGTTGATATTATTCCTATTTTATTTTATTTTTTAGGGTATTTATTTATTTATAATATGAAATTTATTGTCAAATTGGTTTCCATACTATTCCTATTTTATTGATCAGCGGTTTTCATACTTTTTGGTTTTAGGGTCCCTTTGCATTTTAAAAAACTATTGAGGAAAAAAAAGCTTTCATTTATGTAGATTATAGCTATCAATACACGTTCTTATAAAGTAAAAGTGAACAAATTGAAAAATGTGTACTTATTTAAAAATAACCCATTGCATGTTAACATAAATATGCTAATGAAAAATAACTATTTTCCAAAACAACAACAAATGGAGCAAAAAGAGAGGCAGTGCTTTATATTTTTTCAAGTCAGTTTAATGTGTGACTTAACAGAAGACAACAGAAGATTCTCCTATCTGCCTTTACATCTGATGGGCTATAATATTACATGTCATGTAGCTTCTGAAAAATACAGTACACTTGTGAGAATGAGGATGAAAAAGACAAAGTCTTACTATCATTACTATGAAAGTAGTTTTGACCTTGTGGATCCCTGAAGAGTCTCATGCTGGGAACTTCAGTTAAAGATGAAGGAACTGAGGCTCAGACAGGTTGTTACTTGCCTAAGATTAACCAGCAAATTAATGACAAAGGTGTAATTCGAATTCTGGGCCTTTTTACTCCTTCTGGGAATGCTTTTCACACGAATATTAATAATTTTGCTGACCAATTTACTTAGTACCTATTTATCCATCACTGGACATAGTGTCTGGCATGACCATCCACTTGCCGCCCAAGGTAGAAACGAGGGTAGATGCCATCCTCAACTTATACTTTTCTTTCGCCACCCATACCCAGCTGGTCAACAAGTTACTGCAAAAAACGTCTCTTCCAGTCTTCCTCTCTCCATTTCTATGCATCTCCCCCTGCTGACATTGATATTTATTTATTTATTTATTTATTTATTTAT